CCTAAACTATTGGCTAAGATCCTGAACATGAGTTCAGGGCGTTGCTGGTCCAGTGACACCTATAACCCCGTGCCTGGAGTCATGGAGGGGGTCCCGTCTGGGAATAACTACCAGGGAGGCTTCGGCACCCAGCTGATGGCTAAGGTCAGTTTAACGACACATCGCACTATACTGTGCTATGACATTTCATCTTAAGGTTTTTACATCGCAAATATCAAGCAATACATTATATGTATGCCTTAATAAGTGTATTGCTATTTTTAATTTGTGTAGAGAAACTGTTTATCTCTATAACCCCTTATAATTTCAGAACAAAAATATACACAAATGCATTCATAATTTGTAAAACAAACATTGTTCTCATTCATGACTCTCTATGAATGAAACCGGGTTAGAATAAGTCTGTCAGGAAGTCATTTCTGTGCCATATGCCGTGCATGTGACAGGGATTTAAGGAAGGCTGTTAAAAAAAAAAAGCTCTATCCTAGGTCAAACCACTTGAAATGATGCAGTAAACTGCTCACAGCCCTCCTAAAAGTGAATCAAGCCCATATTATCACAACATAGAGAAATATTCTCTGTGGTGTATGGACTGTGGTTTTGGGTTTAGAGTTTAATTTTCAGCTCTGTTGGTTCTTCTTATGTATGTTTTCTTTTCTTTCTCAGGATCTAGGCCTTGCACAGAACACAGCCACCAACACGAAGACGCCTGTTCCTCTCGGCTCCTTAGCCCATCAGATGTATCGTATGATGTGCGCACGTGGTTATGCCAATAAAGATTTCTCCTCTGTATTCCAGTTCCTGCGTGAGGAGGAGGAGGAGGAGGGCCAGGGCCAGGGCCAGTAATGTCAGCCTCCCCCCCGTCCACAGCCCTGTCTGGCCTGGCCCTGCACAGGACTAACATAGCATAGTGAGGGTGCATTTCGCCCCGAGGACTTTCTCTTTCAAAGTTGTGAGAGAAATGAAGCAAAGAGAGCTCCAACACAGCAGATCATGTGATAACTTCTCTCCTCTTGAAAATCATGTTTCCTATCTATGTGATCTAGTTTTCTTTAATATACTACACTCCTTTCAGTTTTAGAAGCAAGTCAACTGTCATTTATACAGAGGACCCAAAACATAGCAGACTGTCGAGCAGCGGCAGCTCTGCAGATCTTTCTCTTAATGCACAGACTCCCCTGGGAACCTGAGTGTGACGAATAAAAACTCATTATAGCTCTGTCAACGTTAAACTTCTGCATCCCGGTTTAGTCTTCTTGTATTTAACAATTGTTCATGATCATTTCTTCATGTTGCTGTTTTTGTTTGTTTATGAGTGTCTGCTCTTGACATTGGAAATGTTACTTTGGGGTAAGAGTGTTATATTATATCCTGTTAGAAAATAAAGGCAAATTGTGATGTCTTAACCATTTAGCTATTTCCTTTTAAATGTCATTCATGTTATGATTGCTGGATTGGATGTTAAATTGAACTGGAATATTAGCAGATTATTGTATAACTGGAAGCAGCACATTTTTTCAGTAATTGCTGATTTGTTGTAGAAATGCCATACATTGTAGTTTTGTTGGAACTGCAAAGGGAGTAGCTTTTCATGAACACAGCTTCAATGACTGAATATATCCTGTCCATAAACTTGCATGCAAATGCAGCTAACCCTCAGACACAGAGGAAGAAGGATAGCCTACTAATTCTGACCAATGGCATGGCCATTTAAATTCTGAATGTTTTCTTTGAGATCATGCACTTCAGTGTTTCCTCAGTTTCTCTGAGTATAAGTGAGTTTAAAGCTCCCAAATATTCTGGTTTGAGTAGTGTCCCACGGATTCAGTAGTCATGACAAAAGGCGAACAGCGGTTGGCTGCGGGCAGATGCAGCGGCGGGATGCGTATCGCTGGACCGAAAATCACGCTGCCAAAACTGAGTATTGGTCCACACTAAAAGGAAGCAACCACTTTTGAACTTCGTATTTAATTATCCAGCACACACATCTCTCAAATTAAGATTTGAATAGACAGGATTCCAAAGCTTTGAAACGAAGTTGTGACCGAGTGTTGCACGATGCAGCCAGCATGAGTGATTTTGGGATGTGGACCGCATTTCTATCCCCACTTAGACCAGACCAGGAGGGCGGCATTTTTCTGATCTAGTTCGCCAAGAGCCACTGAGGGGCCAAGGTGCCATAGGTCATGCGATCACAAGACAACCCCATAAAAAGTCCATTAAGCACTGTATGTTAAGAGCTGTGTTGTCATCTGCTTGATAGGTACAGCAAACAGCACACACTCGTCTCGGGCCTCCAGCAGACTGTGACACACACACAGCCTGACATTATCTGCTGCTGTGCGCGTCATTCCTCGTGATTAGCGTATAGCTAACGCAAATAAGCGTTGCATTTAGTCAATGTGTGTTTCTACACATTTGATTAACAGATTTGGACTATGTGCATTTTGGTGCTTGTGATAGCATGGCGTTTTACACTACAGTCGCGAACATACATCTGGAAAAGGATGCATGCATTCAGTCGAAAAGTAAACACTAGACAAAATACGGATGTCTTACCGCTGATTACTATTTGTCTATTTGTCTTGACTAGCTTGTCCTTAATTCATATCGCGTCTGTTGCAACGAAGCAGCGTTTTTTCATTCACATTTTGCATTCGAAGTAAAAGGTAGCCTATTGGAAAATCCGTGGGGCTATAAAGCCTACTGGGTGTGTGCGATATTGCAAAAAAAATACATTTAAATATTGCGTTTTATATAACTGTTGACTAATAAAAACTATGCAGCCTTTGTCAACATACAATAAGCAACAAACATTGCATAGTTATTTGTATTAAGCTCGGTTTGTTTAGCCGTCATAGATTTAACTTAGGCCTATTGTGTTTATGTATTTGACATGCAAGGGGGTCGAACAGTTATAGCCTATTGGATATATTTCAGATTTAAATTGAAGTATTTTGTACATTTGTGTCGAGATGTAGGCCTATATAACTTGGAGGCAATGTGCGTATGATGGTTCGTATTTAGACACGGTCTTTAATAATACCATCTTGATTATAATGTTCTTTTTTTGGCAATCTAACACATGAATATCTTTATTTTTTATATTGCAGTTTTCATTTGGATACGCGTCCAAGATTCTGGTTTATTTGTTGTATGTGAAAGAGGGGGTAGAGTGTGTGTGTTGACGGCATATTTAAATGAAATTTGAAATGCCTCTTTATCAACAACGCGCGATCCATTTGCAATTTACATGGATCTTCTTTTTCGTTTAACTGGCTCATAAGTTCCTACCATCTGCTGCTATATGTTGAGTCAGACAGCCGCCCTCTAATGTGTGAACAACGTGGCTGAGATGATTCCTGTCCAGACAAAGCTCACTTTCTCTACAGACAAAAAAATAGGCAATTTTCCATTTAAATACATTCATATTTAGAAGTAAACTAATATTTAGAATCTCATACTATAACAAAGCATTTACACATAAACCTCTATAGCAAGCTAAACATCATGATTTGGCCTCACATGCAGTCCACTGCTCAGTCTTGCCTACAAGCTATGAACATGGGCCATTAAGATTTACAGCCCCAAAAGGTGGGAAAACTCTATTCAAATTAAAAAAGGTGCTCAAATGTTGGTGGGTATAGATTTCTCTGCATTTGTGGTCCCATAGAAATGTAAAACAAAAATGAACTCTGAAGGTGAAATTGTTTTTAGTTTGACATCAATGTGTTCAGTCTATCTCAGAACCCACACAGCTCAATGTTTCAGTGCCATGTAAATCTGAACTACAATTTTTTTTTTTAAATTATTGCACTAACAATTCATGCTGGATATGTGTGTCTACTTCATGGACCAATGAAAGACAGTGTTTAGCTCTGCGTCCTTCGTAGGAGAAAAAAAGAGCCATGGAGGCTTTTTAAATGTGTAGACGTTGAAGCGCGGGTTATTCTTCATTTAAGATATTTTTACCTAGTTTATTTATAAAACAAATCATCATAGGCCTTAATTGTGACCATTTAGTGCCAATATATTTGTGCCTTATACATTTTATTTTTGTTATGACAACCGTCTGATGGCATTAAATAAAAGGGACTAGTTTATCTGTCTTAGAAAGGAGCACAGTCTGTAGATGAAACCTCTAAAGTCTTTAGCGTGTTTTCTCTTTGGGCTTCCTGGCCTCAAGTGTTTTGGCCAGACTGCAACTTTCAACTTGACCTTGGCCTCCAGCCCCGTCTAACCCGTACGAGGAGAGTGCAGCCAAATGTGGCATGCTTTTTGTATTTTAGTGGACACACTTCTGGAATATACATTAACACGTGGCCAATAGTGTTATGATATTCCCTTTTTAAATACATCCAGAAAAAATGGTGGTTGTTTCCTTTCTTTAAAATGTGCATGCGTTATCATTGTTTCAAAGCCAGATAATTTAGGAACATGACGGTGCATTTTATAAAAGTCTGCACCTTTTGACAGAAGGTACTCTAACCTTTCCATAAAACGAAATAATGTGAAATCCTCTCATCCGGAATAGTGTTTGCTTTACACCAGAGTAAGGCGTAATGCAACCAAAATGGCATGCGTAATTACGCGTGAATTCAATAAGAAATTGTGCTTATTTTGAGAAGTTTTTTTGACGCCGTGTATCACTCAAATCATCCAATAAACGCATTGTGATGGCACTACACGGCAGACAACTTAGTATTTACATCAGAGTTACATTCAGTTTCAAATTCCAATATAATGATATTCGGGGAGAAAATACCCTAAGGGCTTTTTTGTTGCATTAACTGATGTACATTACTTCTTTACAAATCTACAACTCGATCTGCATTATCTGATGTCTAGACGTTTATCATCTCCTTTGCATATCACGTGTTTGGCCCTGGCCAATAACCTTGCGATCTTTATGTACTCAGGCGTGTTGGTATCGTTACTCTGCCTTAGTCCCTGTCTCCGCTCAGTCGAGGGGATTTTAAAAAAGAGTTGGTCGTCTCGATGTAGGGCATGCTATGACCGCTTCATTACTCCTCCATTCGCACTGGATTGACCCTGTGATGTTTCTCTACGACAACGGCTTGGATGAGAGAAGCAAGAATATGGAGGGATTTACTGGGGGCAATTTTGCTGCAAACCAGTGCAGGAATTTGTTAGCGCATCCAACCTCGCTGGCTCCGAGCACCACTTACGCTGCGAGTGAGGTGCCAGTCTCTGGTATGGGGGAGCCTGGCAAACAATGCAGCCCCTGTTCTGCCACTCAGAGCTCGCCCAATGCATCTTTGCCTTATGGATATTTTGGCAGCAGTTATTACCCATGTAGGATGTCACATGGCGGGGTGAAGCCTTGCGCGCAGCCCACTGGTTATGGCGATAAATATATGGACTCGGCTGTCTCTGGTGAGGATTTCTCCAGCAGGGCAAAGGAATTTGCGTTTTACCAAGGCTATTCCTCGGGTCCTTACCAGCCCAGCTACTTGGACGTCCCTGTCGTACCAGCGCTGAGTGCTCCATCTGAGCCAAGACATGAGTCTCTGCTGCCCATGGAGCCCTACCAGCCCTGGGCCATCACCAATGGTTGGAGTGGTCAGGTATACTGCAGCAAGGAGCAGCCACAGTCAAATGCTCTTTGGAAATCTTCATTACAAGGTATTTTTTACTGTTTTGCTACCACAGAAATGGGTCATTTCCATGGGGATGTGCAGTTAAACTTGCTAGAAAAAGGTGTGCGTGTTTGTCTTGCATATATCTGTGTTATTCCACTGCTTATTAAAGCACCTGACTGTAGAAAAATAAAAGAAGAAACAAATATTTCGTTTACTATATGATACAGAGAAGCTGATTAAAATTTGACACATTAAAATATGACACATCATTTCCCCTCTCCACAGACAACATATCTGGTGGAGACAGCTCTGGCCGCCGTGGGAGAAAGAAGCGTGTGCCTTACACCAAGGTGCAGCTTAAAGAACTGGAAAGGGAGTACGCCGCCAATAAATTCATCACCAAGGACAAAAGGAGGAGGATATCCGCGCAGACAAACCTGACAGAGAGACAAGTGACAATCTGGTTTCAGAACAGGCGCGTAAAGGAGAAGAAGGTCGTCGTTAAATTCAAGAGCTCCAGTTAGCTCAGGAGATACAGAAACAGGAGGTGAAAAAAAAAAAACTTTGCTATAATTTATTACATTATGAACGGTTTCTTTGTGGCCATATAGCGGCTCTGTTTTGACCTACACATTTCCTTCCTCACATTTTAATTGGAACCAGTCGATGCGGCCTGTTGACAGAAGATCGGAAATAGTTTGCAGGGACAGGGCGACTCAGCGAGGGATGTATGATGTCCTGAAAATATTGACCAAACAAAATGACATTTGCCCTTAAAGGCTTGAGACACCCCAAGTATGCCCTTTTAATTCTACTATATCCAATCCAGAAATGTAGACTGGAAACAATTAAGGTATTCGTCTTTAGAGGAATACATGATTGACAATTCGTCTTATGCGGTGGTAAACAAATAGGTGAACCTCAACTTCAGTCTGTGATCATCACAAAGAAAACATGCAAAGTATATAGTAATAACATAAAAAGAAAAATAAATATTTTCAATATTCATTTGCAATAAATAAATCAAATATGCAATGACAGCCTACAACACTTATGTTTGTGCCTATAGGCCTACATGAACAATTTGTTTTTGTTTCATAGTTTGGAAGAAAAAACTGTTTACATACATCCCTGCCTTTTGCATTTTAAATAAACCTCTATCTGATTACGCGTTATCACTCGTAAAACAAGCCTGAGCATTTCAATAGTTTGACCACACGGTTTTCTAAAACACTAATTTCTGAACACAGGATTGTATTCAATGTCCTGCATGTCAGTCAAGAAAAGTAGGCTTGTAATTACCTTAAGCATATTTAAACATGTAAATACTATTTGACTGCAACTATCTATTCTCCCTTTTTTGACTGCAATAGCCAGAGTTTTTTGAAAATAAATATTTGAGACGCAATGTGATCTTGTCTTTTTCATTCATATTTTTTGTCAAATTTGATCATGGATGCTTGATGGATCAAGCTTGGCCACATACATTATTTAATGGTTACATTTAGTATGGCTATAGTTTATTCTTTAAAGTGGTGTGTGAGGCCTACAGGCCTGCAGGGTCTCAGTCTCAGTGGGCTTCATCCATTCTCAGTTTATGTCGCCATCTAGGGGCGAAGCTCTGTCAGCACAGCGTCTGCACATTCACCCTGCTATACATCAGGCATATCTGCCTCTGCTCTCTCAGAAGTCATTGTGTGTTTATATGTTTAGAAAAGTGATCTTATTTGTACTTATCTACCATATTATTAATACAAGGAGTCTATTTAAATGTTTATTTTTAAATGTATAAAGTAAAAACATTATTTCTTCGATAGTATATTTATATTATAGAAATATTTGAAGACCGCAGAAATGAGAGGGATTTAAAGTAATGCCATATCTGACCAAATGTAATAGATTGAACCTTTTGAAGCATGGCAAAGTGTAGAGCTCCTGATAATGATAATAACACGTAAAAACAATAACATATGATTTGTTTTTATTTTATACACAGCTATTGTATCTTAATATTTGTTCAAAAACGAAAACGAAAAATATATCTTATGATATATTTTCCATTAATCATGCCTTTCGGTCGTGCAAAAGTAAGGTCTGTTCGTTAATTGTTGAGTGCACTTCAACATTTCGTAATTAAAATGCCTGTCTTATCCCCAATCAGAACATCTCAATAATACAGGACTGTATTATCTGATATAATTCCGTCCTGTTTTATTTAGACATATGTTCCTGAGCAGGTTTATTTTTGTACTTTCATCAAGTCCTCGTGATCTGTTGTTCAGGAAGAAATGTGTTTTCAAGACATCTGATTCGAAACAAAAACTGGAAATATTCTTAAATGCTGGATTTTAACATTATAGTCTGTAAATGAATCGGAGCTAGTGGAGAGGCCTGTTCACCCGCCGTCCAAACCACCCTTTGTCACGCACAACTCGTTTCTTTCGATGCTCGATTGCTATGTTTTGGATATATTGTCTAATGGTGTCAACATACATGTGTTGACATATTTCACGTGATCTTCACCATCGACAAACAGTTTCTAACTGATATTGCAGGCAATGTCTTGATCACAGGCAGGAGCTAATGGAATTGTAAATAGATGCCTTTCTAATTCAGTTATTAGCGAGATTACATGTTTCAATGAATAATTTGGATTTCTGCGGCCACTGACTGAATGTTGAGGAAAATGTTAAATATCGCTCCACCTGGTTGAGATGGAGTCTTAATGGGGGTCCCCTCAGTTGTTCTGTGTAATTGCTCCCCCTACAGTCAAACAGGTTACTGCATCTCACTCAAAAAAGTCCCGTATGTAGGCCTGAAGCATTAATCTGCAACAGCAATAAGCAAATACCAATATAACCAATATAAACTAATTAAGTAGTAACAACGTCTTGTTTAAAAAAGGTTCCATTTAACAGCAAGGGAATTGAAGCGTAAAAGGTATAAGAAAAACGCTTCACTTATTTAGAGGGGCCTGCTGAACTTTGGGTGGGGGAGCTGTTGAGTGTAAGCAATGACCTTCAGACAGAAATCCACATCTTGATTTTGTATTTAACGATGTACACAGTGAAAGGAATTGAGCAAACCAAGCATCTTTCCCAAATAAATTAGAACATTAATGGGACGGAGTTGGATATTTGTATTTATTTGAACGCGTTTCTTCACAACAGTCATCATACAATTGCAGCTGTAAAACCTTTTGTCAGTATTGACAGCTAAAAAAAAAAGACATTTATCAACATAAGAAAATAGCTGGACAATGATAACAAGAGTCATTCATAAATGGCAAGTCATGAAATGTAATAGATGTGTTTGCTTTGAGCAGTTTTTAAACCTGCTGCCTTTGCTCTCTCAGCACATCCGCTTGCAGGCAGATATTCTTGGATGACTGCGGTGTTTTATTTGTGAATTGAGAAAGTTGTTTATGCTTTTTAAGTGGTCGTGTTTTATAGCAGCCTTGTAAACCCGCAACAGTCCAGTACTTCCGGAGAAGCCCCCCCCCCCCCCCCCCCCTTTAGCTGCTCCCAGACTCCATCTTTTTTCTTTACTCTCTTTAGTTTTCTCAAAAAGATTTGAAACGTGCAATAACTTCTATAACTCAATGAGATGTCGTGTGCCCTTTTCTTCGGTTGTGCTATAATTGACTTTAAACAATATGATCCAGATTGCCTTGTTACGGCTGTGACAAACAGTCCATTATAAAGTAACCTAATCTGGGATCATTTTCGTTTCAACTTCAGAAGCCTTACTTTTCTCCCAAAAACACGGTATTTGTCACTTTTAAAGAAACATTTTGTCTGTAGAGTTATTTTGTATTATGAAAAACGTTGCAGCCATTTGACTGAACAAGCTATGGATGTTAATACATCACTTTGCAGTATACACCCTCTCTAAAAAACATTTTCAAATCCTCGTGAATCATTTATAGTGAAGGAACTTTATTTTTAATCTTAAATGTGTATAATCCACGATACAAATGTTAACCAACTAGTTTAAATGACTAGTTATGTTCTTTTGTTTACACCTGTAGGCCTAATGCTTACAATAATTCAACTACATGGCAAATGTTGTGTTTTCATCGACTGCTCAGCTTTTTAAATTATATGAATATACCTGTAGAGATTGGGTCTTTAAACTGTTGATTTTAGCAAGCACATTTCACCTAAATATTATAAAATGGCCCCTTGTGAAATGGACTCAGGAACGAGAAAAGGCACACATAGATTTTCAGGCTGTTAAATTAAACCGCAGTCCTCAAAGTGTCGAAGGAAAATTCAGGGAACCCAGGAAAACATGTTTTTATTTTTCAAATCACTTTTAGCTCTCTTTTAAAAGCCACATCATCAATCAGTGACTGCTCGATCGGGATTTATTTGTATACCTTCTGCTTTCTGCTTTACTGAAACAAATATCATACATTCATTATTCTGAGGTCTGGTGCAGTAAGGCCGAATGTTTTTTTCCATAAACTTAATAAACATTAAACTTAACCATAGGCTAAAAAGAAACGATCAAACAACCTTGACTTTCGTGTGTCTAAGCAATGAAAATGACATCAACACAATTAATTAACCTCTTTTTGTTCAACGTATTAAGCCATAATTTAATTACAATTTCTAAGATGGATTCATCATTGTGTGCGCTACTTATCCAAAGTGGATCTACAAATAAGGAAATGTATATTACTTGTTTTTCTTATGACAACCGGCTGGAGGTCAAGGTTTAGCAGCTTTTGTTTACATTCTTCCAACACGCTTGCTAGCTACTCGATACTAATGAAAACGTCGCAATTATATTACTTGATGAATGCGCCCAATGGCTCGGGTTTAATCGTGTAACCGAATATTTTTTTGTGGTTGAATCTGTTTGAAAACTGTGCTGTAAAACGTAGAAGAGTGAATGTGACAAACTTGGCGATGCAGCCTTGGTCTGACGCTTCGTTCGAGACGAGAGGCTGGGTAATTCATAAAAGAAAGAACATATAATTGTCAAATCTATCATGTAAAACTACTTTAATCTTCACATGAATAACTGTTTCACAAAGTAACAACTCACCGTTGAAGTCAAACCACCTGGGCAGAATGAAATATTGCATTCTCCTAATGCGTCCCTGCACATGACACACATGCACAGGCTTTGATGTATAAAAAGTGATTTCGAACTTAATTTAAAAAGTGGCCGCATAACAGGATTAAAGATACAGTATGTGACACGTGTGTCCACTTACTCAGCAGTGATGACAAATGAAAATGGATGGCAGTGTGGGAAGTAGCCCGTGTCTAAAGGTTTATGTTGGGCGTTGCAAAGAAAGAAAAGGCCATGCAAAGACTGGAGCCCCTTTGGCAAATGCATTTTATTATTCGTAGCCTATAAACAACATCATGTGTTAACATTAAGCTAAACGCATTAGCCTCACTCGAGCAGGCTGCTTCAGGCCCTTTGTATCTACTTTAACGCGTAAGAACTGTAACAATCAGCATGCAATTAAAGTACATTTGGACACAGTGAAGTCTGCAACTGAGTCGAGCTTGCATGTGTTCACTGATCCCAAAAATGCTGGCCCAAACAAGCCCATAGCAACCACAAGAGATAACCAAGCCTGTCTTTACAGGCCTTTGTCTTTTTGTCGCCGGGTGCCAAACTGGAAGGATGCCTGACAAAAGTGCAGCATGACTCGCATTGCTCCGCCACTGCAGTGGGTTAGATGTGTCTATTTATAGCCAGGGGAGCGATATTAAATTCACCCCGAGAGACAAAGAATTCATAACCTACCTGCCAATCTGCTGAAAATAGATGTAATTTATGTTCCAATACAATTGACTCATGTGCTCTTGTTTCTTAAAAAAAGACCTCAAGCTCAGAACAAGTTCTCTATTTTAGCCTATTAAATGTTATTTGTGCCAAGGATTGAGCCTCATAGCAAAGTCGAAATCGTGTCTTTAAAAGGCGTGAGGCGTCAGATGTTAAGGTTAGGGTTAAGATGAGGTTAGAATTTAAAACGAACTTAAAGGTAAGAAAATGGAAGGTTAAGCATATTGGCGTGAAATTGGATCTAATTGCATGTTTTGTTTTTCCTTTGTAATGTAGCGATTTGACAATAAAAGTCCACAAGCAAATCATAGGATTTACGCTAAATAAAACCCGTGTTTAAAATGTGTTCAAAACAGCCTAAATTGTGTCTGAGTAAAGGTTATTGGCAGTATTTTTCCTTTCCCATACGGCCGAATGTCTACTTTATAAACTCATTGACTCATATAGCCTACACATTGAGGCGTAGGCTATCTGTCATTTTGTGCCAGTGGTCACATGGCTTTGGCCCTCAGGAATGGATAGAGATGGATCCCCACGTCAGCTTGTACGTCTAAGGATTTCTGCTCCACCAGTCTGCCTCAAAGTGACTGGAGCGCAGCGCCGTGGAGGAACTATGCGAGGATTATTATAGGACGTTTCCAACAGCAGAATATGGATTTTGATGACCGGATCTCTAGCTCCAATATGTATTTACCGAGCTGCACTTACTACGTCTCCGGAGCAGACTTTACGGGTCTCCCTCATTATTTAACCCAAAGCCAGTCCTCTTGCCCCAATATATACCCATACCAGTCCTCAGCACTGCCACAGGTCCCGTCCGTCAGAGATGTGGCTTTCAGAGACTATGGGCTTGATACTTCCAGTAAATGGCACCACAGCAGGGGGAGCCTGTCACACTGCTACCCGGAGGACATTGTGCACAGGGACGGCTGGACGAGCTCGACCTCCAGGGGGGGTGAGATCCTGGTGAAAGGCAGCTCCAGCGCCAGCCACTCCAGCTCCTCCAACCCGACGCACGGCTTCTATGGCAGCGTTGGCAGGAACGGCGTTCTGCCACAGGCTTTTGACCAGTTCTTCGACACTGCCTATGCGAGCGCAGAGAGCAGCACAACGCCCACAGCACATGCAGCAGACACGGACAGACACACCGCCAAAACAAGCCCCGCTCCGGATCACCCTGACTCGGACTCCGGGGAGAGCTGCAGCCCCAAGTCGTCCTCCGGCCACAGCGATGAGAGACAGAGCAAAGGCAGCAGTGAGTACGCAGCTGAACGCAACAAGGAGAAAAATCTAACGCGTTGCTCTTAAAGCTTTTTATATGCTCTTTTATAAGCACGTAAGGTTTATGGAGGGCCTGTAGATTTCCCCTATAACAAAACTATGTTATAAACGACAAGATCACGTGCTTGGGATTGAAATTGGCCGTGAAGACTTTGGCGTTAAGCTTGTCTTCCAAGATTTCCAACAAGATCTCCACTTTTTGTGTGCGCCAGTAAACTTCATTTATATATAGTATTTATAAAACATAACTCAAATAACAATCTAACTTTTTAAAACACATTCAATCCCCCATATTTGTTTCCATAATGTATTTATTTTAACGTGAATATTTTGGGATTTCTTATTTGATTTATTCTGTGTTGACTGATGCTGAAGCATTTAAATGTGACTTTGTAGCAGATTTAGGCTTAAACCCTGCTCCTTATTCAAATGTAAATATTTACAAATTCACAGGATTAATGGGGATTTATTACAACAACTGCTTTTCGTGGAACTTGCTCTCACTAACACTAAAACAACAGCACTTTACGCACAGTGAAATCACAAACGGACAATACAAGCATATCAGATACACGATACTCATAGTTTAGGCCCACGACCTCTCAGAAAGCAGCCGGTATGGTTTTACAGATTTCAATACGTTTTCACAACTTCCGACATGCCTAACATGTCCCACTATCAAGCCCAGTCTTTGTTTACAAATCTCGGTCCTGTAGGCCTGAGAGGAGAAACACTTGACCTCCAAAGCTCTTGTAGACCACCACTGCTGACTCCAAGCAGGAAATAGACTTGTGATTGCATGTTGTTGTAATGTGTATATTCAATCTCATGTGGTGACCTTTTGCCTTTCTATTTGTTTCTTTCAGGTGGCCAGAGGACACGCAAGAAGAGGTGTCCATATTCAAAGTATCAGATCAGGGAACTGGAGAGGGAATTTTTTTTCAGCGTTTACATCAACAAAGAGAAGCGCATGCAGCTCTCACGGATGCTCAATCTGACAGATCGCCAGGTCAAAATCTGGTTTCAGAACAGGAGGATGAAGGAGAAGAAACTCAACAGAGACCGTTTACAGTACTACACCACAAACCCCCTGCTATAAACACTGAACAAAGACTGTCACTGACATGTACTCCTCAACCATACACGTCCACATTTTACAGGATGGCGAGTTTTGAATGTGCCAGACTTACTAAAGAATTTCACTATTTATACACTATTTTGTCATTAAACACCGTTGGCTTTATTATTATTATTATTATTATTAATATTATTAATAATATTAATATTTATTATTATTATTATTATTATAATCCTTTCATTCGGATGGCCCGACCAATCAACACTTTTTTAGTAATGTGGTAGTGTGTGGTTTGCTTGAACGGATCATTTCTTTGTATTATTTAATGATATTACTCTGCTGCAATTTAAGAAGGAAAAATCATGATTTTTTTCTCCCCTAAATTGTTATACATTTCAATTGTTTTTCCAGATTTACGCACAACTTTTACAGACAGAAATGTTCTAAAATATTGTTCCTGTTTTCTTCTTTCTATTATGATTTTAAATGTATTGTGGAAATAGAACTCCGGTGATTACAAAGCTATTGTGTATTTTCTGGATTTACTAGACTTTACCTAACATTGGTTATTGGTTATTGGTCATTGTTTCATAGTTAGGAAGTAATTGGAGTTATAATCTGATACCAATTAATTCAATTTAAGTATTATATTCGACAAAATTAAACATCTGCGCTTGACCCTCAACTGAGACGCTTTGTTGAGCTCTTGGATTAATCCGGAATTTCATCCAAAAGTTAAACTGATGATAAAAGACCATAACCCTCAAATGAAACATAATCTAATTTTTAGTTTTATATGCCAGCACGTGGATCGTATCAGCTGCATGATATAGGTCTGATGCTTTTTATTCCCTCATGGCTTGAAATGGGATCCGCTGCAGTTATTGTTTGATATCCATTACAAAGGGTTAATTCATTTCGTGGGAGATTAGAAAAGGCTGCTTTCTGACCTAACATGCCTGTTGGGTTTACTGAGACAATCTTGACACTTGTTTGAATGCATAGGCTATAAATGCAATGCATCCATCTAAAACATATGTATTGATTTGTGTGCATACACACGCTCTCATCAAAGTCGGTTGTTGCTGAATGACTTTATTCATTTAATTCCCTGAGAGTCAGCATGGGCCACCACACATTGACATTGCGGCATCTAAAGGGGGGTGGACGAACACCAGATGAATATAATAATCAGGTCAATCTGAATGGTCATTCATTATTCATTGTGGTGGTTTGATCCAAATACTTCACATCAGCCGCATTCCAAATATGTATTTATGCCATCAGGATTTATGTTAAACTGTAAAGGAAAGTCAAAGAAGCTCACATAAACAGATGGGTAAAAGTTGTCTTGAGGTGGCATTGTATCCGCCACCAGGCCCCTGGAAACAACTTAAATGGCATGCAATAAGCTAATAAGGGTCCCGATGCCTTCTTATACCGTGCATCCTGTGAGGCTCATAGGAATTCCGCTTTGATTGCTGCACATCCTCCCAGTTGCTCCAGTAACTTGGCCATAAAACGTGGATTCGTCTGGAGCATTTGGAGTGTAGTGCAATAAAGCGTCTGAGACCAAGGTTATTAACTGTGACTAAGGGGCTGAAAAACAACGGCTGAAAGCATTGAAAGCTTGTGATCACGGACCTTTCCGGCGTCATTTGTTTCAGCATCTTACCGTGGTAGGAATATTCTGCCTGTGTGTTGTGTTGCAGTGTAGGACCAGTTGTCTTCGTCCACTGGGTGGCGCTCCTCAGATCAATGTCATTGCCGTGAATTGAAATATAAAAGAAGTTTGACTCGTCGCTCAGCTGCTTTAAAATACATCACCACCTCACAATATCATTTTAAAGGTAAGTACAGAAATATTATCATGTTCGTGTTATGACTACGGAGGTTTTCCTAATGTGATTCAAGGAGGTGGCTCTGCTTTTCTTGTTTGTCCTACCTCAACTTTATCTATAAACTCAATATGTAGTAAATGTTATGATGTCATGAAAGAGTTTCTGTCCACATTTCCTCAAGAAAATAATGCATTTGTTTGTTTTTTGAGCATTAGATCCAGTGCTATTTATCAGGTTGCATGTTTGAAGTAATAGACAAGTAATTCGCCCTCAGAAATAAGATCACGAGGGCCTGTGTTCCAAGTATTCTGTGGCTCACTAAATTGTATAATCCCCTTACAGTTTCAAACCTAAATTATACTTTGTTTTCTCAATGATAAATTGGATTAATGTTGTTTTGTTGTCATGTAAACAAACTATTTTAAACCTGTGACATTTAGAACCATATACGTTCACTTTAAGGATGCAGCTTGTTGTGTGTCATTGCGCACGCTGGTGAGACCAACATATAGATATTTTCATTATTTATTGTTTACGTTTCTTAAACTAAATGAATTGAATTAATACAAATACAAATGTTATGTTAATATAATACAAGAGCAGCGCAAACTGATACTTCAAACAATCCATGAGGGTTTATGATTATTATCCTCCATTGCAACCCGACATGCTGCAGGTTTCACGCCATATAAAACGGCTGTACATAAACTCTGATATCTAGACTTTATGGCTCCAGGCTTAGAGGAAAATGGAGGTACGATGTTGTATTTCCCCCAAATTTGGAGACATCTTTACGCGGATTTAAATCTGTAGGCCTGTGTTGTAAACTCCTAAACCTTTTGAAGGAAGCATGGGTTTATTTTATTTTGTATTTTGTTAAAGTTGTTAGCATTCCAGGCTGACTATTTGTGTTTATGCCACACGTTTTTTTCTTAATATAATGAAGACCAACTTTGTATCTATTTGTTACTCGTATTACAAAGTAATCCATGTATTTGTTTATTTCAAGGACTTGCAATGTCTACTATTTAATATTAGGCCCAATTACATTCAAATGTCGTTATATTATTATCATATGTAGGCCTGTTGTGTCAAACATTTCATTAAACAAAGGAAACAAACTATAAAGAGATGAACAAAGATATTTATTTGTATAAAAAAACTCGAATTCAACACGAGTTAAAAAATATGCTTCGAGCTTTTCATTCATGTTTAAAATGTAGGCCTTTTGGCAGGTGTTTTTAAACATACATTTAATTTAGAAAATGGTGATTCTGTGCGCAGCGTTCGTGCGTTTCTCAATAAACAGTCACAGTGGAAAAAGGGGCAACAGATGAACTTGTTCTAATGTTATGCATATGATATACACGTCTTGAAGTCTTGCCAATATTGTGTGGCAGGAGTCGCAGGACTATCAAGAAAAAGCTATCTCCAGGGCATTGTTTAGCCAAGGCGATCCCTTCAGTGTGCCTCCATGTCACCTCTACATGCTCGACACAGCTTTCTCAGTTTAAGGTGTCTGGACGCAATCATGACATTTGCACCCACAATTCACACCACAATGATGAGTTTTGTTTCTCTGGTTTGGCCAGCAACGTGGCGAGATGAAACTGTGTGAACTGCTTTTAGACAGTCCATAAGGAATTTTAAGTCCAAACAATCCAATAATCTTCATCAGAGTAGCACAAGAAGGGTTAAGTGTCCCTGGACCAAAGGGTCACACAGGACTTTTGGATCTTTGATGCACCCTGCGCTTCTCAGAGGCACCTCTAGAACCCTTCATTTTTACAGTGCTGTAAAACTGGCCATAAAGCTATGCATTGTACATAATTGTTAGGAACATCTTTAAACAACTGAGTTGTCAAACAGGAAGTTGTTGTTAAGTTCACACATGCAGCTCTGGGCTTATAGCTGGTAATCGAGGCACCGAAAGTGAGATTCAAGGGAGATTTAAAGATTTTACCTAAAACCCTCTGATGCACCACTTTTCCTCCACAGTTTCTTTCTTACGTAGCCTAAAACAAAAATATACGACACAGTGGAGCTGCCTGGCCGGACTGGGAGGAGTCTGTAGCCGCCTGGTGTTTTAATTGGCTGCAGGCTACAGTGAGAAGCGTGAGTATCAGTAATTATTCAGCAATGTTTTGAACAAGAAATGTCAGCCAGAAAGGGCTATCTTCATCCTCCGTCAAATTATACCACAACGATGACATGTCCCAACAACCAAGCTGGAAATTCGTTTTTCGTGGACTCTTTAATTAACGTGAGAACCGACAGCGGTTCATATTACCAAAGTAACGGGGTCTATTTGCCACCGGCGTCGGAATATTCATATGGACTCTCCGGAGGCTCGTGTTTCCCGGGAATCGGTAAGCGCAACGAGCCAAGCACCCAAAGCGTGATCCCGTCTTCTGCCCCGTATGTTCAGGGGATGGAAACGTGGTTGGAAACGTCTAGATCCTGCCGGGTGGATCAGCCCAACAGCCAGCATATGCCACAGTGTTCATTCTCACCGAATATAAAAGAGGAGAGCGCTTATTGCCTCTATGAGTCTGACAAATGTCCAAAAGGAGCCACAGTAGATGACTACTCAACCGCATCATGCCCGGTTACCGGCAGCACTTTGCCAGTCCCCGGCTACTTCCGCCTGTCTCAGACATACGCGTCCTCTAGGCTTTACCATGATGTCCAGCCAAACATGAATCACTTTACTCTGCAGCGTCCTGTCCGCCTGGACAGCCAGCCCTCCCGGCCCCCGGCTGCCTCTGCTGAGCCGGAGCGGAGGGAGAGCCACGAGGAGGCGCCTGTCCCCGCGCCCTGCGCCCCGGCCAGAGACGAGGACAGCCGCCTCTCCTCGGATATCTCCTCCTCCCCTGAGCCCGAGGAGACGTGCAGTACTGAGTGTCCGGAAAAGCCAGTAAAAGGTGAAGAGTTGTGATACAATGTAGACATATGTTGCAAAAAATGCACACGCCAAGTGGGCTTATAAATAGGCTTCCATTGTTTTTTTAACCAATGATTTCTGACCTCAGAGGAATGCATGAGCCTGAATACTGATAGTCTGTTCGTGTATTAACATGTAGGTCAATGCCTGCCATTCACAAGTGTGCTTAACGGGTACTGGTTTATCGGGTATGAGACGAAATTGAACGTGACTTAACAAATCAGAGCCGCGGAGCAGATCCATTGTGCTTTATTAACTGTTTTAGATCACAAACAGGCTGTGCAGTTTATTACTGTGCTATTCAAACAGCCACCAAAGAAATGTAGATTATTAAAAATAGCATTAATTGTTATTGTGTTTTTAAATATCGTCAGGGTTTCATTATCATTGCTAAGGACAAACCAGTAGACCATTTGTCCTGTGCAGGACATAGTGTCAGTTGTCCCCTCATCAAAGGCAAGCCTTTCTATAATTTCAGCAGTCTGTGCAGGATATGTTTGATGTCTTAATAAAGAGCAGTTTAACGGGGCAGGTAGTTTCTGGTAAAATGCTGAATTGCAGCTGTATAGATATCTCAGAGATGTGGCTCTGCGTAAAATGGTTGTACAAATTAGAGCTAACAGAAACCAGTCATTACGCAGACATGTATAGGTGTCATTTTAACAGAAGAAAATGATATTCTAAATGTCCTGTTGTAGTTGAAACTATTTTATAACTTTGACTTCTTTGTTTTGTATTTGATTTGTATTGGTCCATCATTTCTACAGAGCTATAAGGTTTTTTTTCTACGACGTGAGCTAATATACACCTGTTGCCTAATGCCCTGTTTCATTTTAATTGTAGGAGATGGAAAAATGGAAACCACGGCTAATTGGCTCACAGCTAAGAGTGGCCGAAAGAAGCGCTGCCCCTACACCAAGCACCAGACTCTGGAGCTGGAGAAGGAGTTTCTCTTCAACATGTACTTGACAAGAGAGCGCCGTCTGGAGATCAGCCGCGGTGTGCACCTCTCTGACAGGCAAGTCAAAATCTGGTTCCAAAACAGGAGGATGAAACTGAAAAAAATGAGCCGGGAGAATAGGATCCGAGAGCTCTCAGGCAACTTCAGTTTCTCATGAGACTGTCTGCGTCTTTGGCGCCCTCCTCCATCCATGGCAAGGGCGCCTGCAGAGCCCCCCCTTCCCAACCCTACTGTGAGAATGTCCATGGAAACAAGGACCCTACTGCTAACTTATTGATTGTTGTTCTTTCTTGTTTTCACGTCTGTTTTGTTGTTGTCGTGGATATGTATTTATAAATGGCTACATTTGTAACGTTGATCCATTGTGTTTAAAATGTTCAGAATGTGACCACAATGTTTCAGAGTTTCAGGCGTGTACATAGTGTATAGTCAACCTGAGTGAACCATTGGAATTTGCATGCTGGACTAACCCTTGGGACACTTGTGTTACAGTTACATGTACCTTTATGTGCCAACTAAAGAGCCCAAGAGGTCTGATGAATATTTGCACATTTATTTCTGGTAAAATTAATAAAACCATCCCTGCAACTGCAGACTTCTTATTTCATTCATGAAGGGCATGCTAGGTGCTGCGCTTTGTTTAAATCTTAAAGTTGGCACAGGTAGAGTGCATGGTGCTAATGCCTTTGTGTTTTGGAAAGTGTCCGGTCTGTGTGCAGTAAATATCCTTACAGTAGAGGGTGATGTTTTTCATAGTTTAGGCCTTTAATTGAAGTCTGGTGTCTGTGAACATCGCATTGCCTTTTGTCCTTGACATCAGACTTCATTTTAAACTAAATACAACGAATGGAGGCACAGTGATGTTGTAAAATGTATTTCAGAATTGTTTTATCTTTTTAAAAAGTGAGGCCTTGTTGCAAAAAAAAAGGTCAAACAATTACAAAGGTAAAATTCTTCATTTGAAGGTTTGGGCAGCGGCGCATGTGGACTGCCTTGGACTGAAGCAGCAAAATCCCTGTTTGTGAATTGCCGCACTCGTTAGATCACGATTAAAATCTTCTTTTCGCCTTTAAATATTTCCACAAAAAAAAACATTTAATCCTGCCATACTGAGAAACTACATAATTTCTTCAACACACATTATAAGAGATATTGCTGAAGAGAAGAGCGGGCTGTTGAGTGGTTTAGGTAGTCTCATGTTGTTGGGCTTTTATATTTCTCCCACAACACGAAACTGTCTTGATTACCACAGTAAAAACTCGTCGCATCATGAAAAGTGAGTCCCTTATAATTACTCGTCGATTTGTGTTAATTATTTTTCACAGACTGCTTCAAATCACAATATAATTTGAAAAAAAGTGCAATAAAGTGTTTTATTGTTGTGCGTAAAATGAACTTTTTCTATGCGTTTTATCTTGTGAGTTTTCATTATAAAGACAATTTATCTTATCTCAAGGTATGTTACATTTAATTTTTAGAGATACAACCTTTTTTATTACCCTAGCAAAATATTTTGAGCGTCTCTATGTGATCCAACAGGCGAAAGTAAAGATGCAAGCTGTGCAATGAAAGGATTATGGCTTGTCAGTGTCCAGGAGAGGCGGAAAGGACAGACAAGGCCTCGGTTATGATCATTGCAGTCTGCCAGTTGCCTCGCCGTAGGAAATGCCGGATGCGTCTGCTAGCTCCAGAGAAAGGACACAAAGGCTTAGCTTTATTGGTGATATTTAGCTTAGACAGCCAGGTTGTAACCCAAAGAAAAACAACCCAATTGCCCGTGATAAAAAGGACTGTTATATAGCACCCAAATAACCCACCCTACTTTCCGTTTTAGATTGCCTTTAAAGTAGAAGACCCATAATCCTGCAGACCCAGCGATGCGCTTCTCGGAAGCTGTCTCTTAATGCTTTTTGATATTCTAAACTCAAATTATGTTTTAAACACATTTCTGCTTGTTTTATTTAATTCAAAAAGTATTGAAATGTGTTATACAAAAACCACTAACAAGAACTAGTAACGTCTACCAAAGTGAGAGATTTAAAGATGGAGGTCAATAAACTAATATCAATTCCATATAATAAATAATCCCATAAAGCACATTTTGAAATGGAGGTTGTTTTGTGATTTCGCAAATGGAGGCTTTTAAGCCCCCCCCTCATTTCTATCTCAACTATGTTCGATTACACCACCATACGATCTCTTGGCAGAAATCATAACGTTTATTGCTTATAAAACGAAATATTTGCCAATAAAGAAGCGCGGACTTGCTATTAAAATATGGTGGAGAAAATGGTGGCCATTTAGTTGAGCAGCAGGCTGATTTATTATTTATTGTTCTGTCCCACGGTCACGTGTCTGGGGCGCCCTATCCAGTCTTGGGCAAGGTTCAATTTACCGGACGCATTGAGCCCCTAGCTGGTGCAGGAAAGCAGCTCTTTATGTGCAATGAATCTGAATGATCTGAACATTGCAAGCCTGTAAACGCGGTTTATATATATTTTGGGCTTTTGCATTTCTGCGATGTCGACGTTGGGAACGAGCTATTACATTGAGGCTCCTGTTCTTCCCGAGCAGGACGATATGGCACCGAGGTACTCGTCAGCTGCAGGGGTGGAGCAGGCGATGCTCACCGAATATGGCGGACAGGAATCTTGCACTTTGCAGGCGAAATCTTCTATTTTTGGTGGATCTTGGAGTCCCATCTCGACCCACCCTCCGAACACGGCCACTCCGACCTATATACACCACCACTACACCAACGGGGACAGCGATGGTATGTTTACGCGCTCCTGGGCGTTGGATCCGGTCTCTGCGTCCCTGTGTTTGACGGGATTACCGTCGACGGCCATGCATTATGAGATCAAACCCGAGCCTCGGATTGGAAGTGCTGAATGTACAACTTTGGAGACGCACACACCTCTTTTGTCTGACATTGAAAACGGAGCGTCCCTTGTGGAGATTCCCTGCCAAACCACATCCACGTCTAAAGCCAATGTAAGGAGCCCGTCAGCAGAGGACGATCTCAAGAGGGAGATAGAAGCAAGTAAGCAATGCAGTTTCTATTCTATTCTCCGTACTCTTTGAGCTCATTTAGGTGAATGAAAGTGGCGTTAGCTTGGAAATTGGGAGATTTTTTTTGGGACGTAATTTATAAACATGGATATATTTGATAGTGTTTCAAAGAGATGTAATGGTTTAATGGAATGACATGGTCTTTTGTGAAATTAAATAAGACTATTCTCCAATGGGATGGTCACCCCTCACTGCATCATCCTTCATAGGAATAAATAGTGTCATGTGATGTTGAATAACCAAAGATTGTTCCTATTTCAATAATCTTGTCGGGCGTAGCATGTATTTATCAAACTATTAATCCGGAGCAGTCCTGTTTTTGAGTATTCTGAGAGTAACTCTCCTGTCTCTCGGTTTTGACCCCCCTGTTTCCAGATAACCCATCGTCCAACTGGCTTCATGCAAAGCCCACCAGAAAAAAGCGTTGTCCATATACAAAGTACCAAATCCTCGAACTGGAAAAGGAGTTTCTGTTTAACATGTACCTCCCCCGGGATCGTAGATACGAAATAGCGAGAGCCCTAAGTTTGACCGAGAGACAGGTGAAAATCTGGTTTCAGAACCGCAGGATGAAGATGAAGAAAGACAACAAAGACCGGCAGAGAGACAGTTAACTTTGGACTGATGCTGGATTAGAGAGGGGAGGAGGGGGGAGAGGGGGAGTCTGTCTTTAATATTCCTGACCTGTTACACATGTTGTTGTAAAGTGTGTGTATAGTTAAACAATGCTGGATGTTATTGTTTACTATGGTGTCCAGTGTTTCATGTTTGTGAGAGGACAAAGTGTCTCGTCAGAGTTTAGATGTGTTGTATTTGACGCACAGAAATAGTGAGTAGGTCGTTTGTTATTTGCATGAAATGATCCTTGACTATCTGAATGTATTTCAGCTACCTATTTGCATTGTTTAAGTTATTGTTTTTGCAATCTATGTGTTTTATATCCGTCTGTTTTGTTCCATTTGTGCACACTTCAAATACCTCATCCGTTCCTTGTTTCATGTAAAAATAAAAAGTAGTTTGTATATAGCACAGAAAGTAATTATGACTTATTCATTTGGTATAATGTTGCGTTTAACATTGAAACACACTGCGTATTTATAGCACATTTAAACTAAATATAGACTATAAAGACTATTGTACTGAAAAATACTATTTTTCGTTCTCTATTCTTTCTTAATTCCTTTATTTATTTGTTAAGCACATTTTACTTCCGTGTTCACCACAAGAAATTCTAAACTATTTTCACAGAATAAGTATTTTGACTTATTTCATTGAAAATTAATTGAACTAAAACAATTTATTTCAAGATGAAAAAATATGAAATAGTTTATACTATTATAGTTTCTTCTCTCTTGTAACCATTCCAAATATACCCACAGAAAAAGACAATCCTGAGGCCTGTACAAATAGTTTCTCTCAGAATTGTGTTTTTGGCAACCTTACCGGCCTAAAGTATTAGTAAGTTTCTTATGATAATATTTATAAATCAAAAATAATAATATTTGGAAAATAAGAGAGGGATTTGCATTCGATTGTAACATGGTCAATAACTTTAGATTAATACACACATTGTCCTTTTTAAAGAGCCTCCTGTTTAAACAATATTTGAAAATGGAAATTATATTTGAAAAAGCTTGTATCCTTCGATTTAAATGTGTTTACATAAATAGAAACGACAGTATAGACTATACCCAACAACACACAGCGCAGGCACAATTCAAATAAAAAGTCACGAAAGAGTCAGGGCAAATTAAACAACAGCGAAACCCATTTTAGCGTTTAAAGATACTTTCTACTCAATTATTATCTAAATCCTTCCATATATAAATGCACTATCTTTTAGGACATCTTCGGTCTTTTAGCGCGCTACAAACTAGACTGGATGCCCTCCTGCAATAAACATCGATCACAGCCTCAACTGTTTATAAGGTGCGAAAACAGGAAAGCATGAAGGCTCTGTGACAGCAGTAAAGCAGCATTTCTAATGAGCCCCGGGAAAACAGTCAAATATGTGATATTGTTTTAAGATAGGCCTGACACACACGCACACATGCACGCACGCACACACACAGAGGGACGCAGGACTGCAGATGGCTCTGTCTTAAAACCTCTAATTCCTTTACAACCGTCTACCGACGATTAGTCTGTCTCGAAGCAGAGACATCCTTGTGTTGTTTAGTCGCTGCAGCAGAGCTCTCAGGACAACAGACACACACAAACACAACAACATGTTTAACACTCTTAAAAGTTTCCAAATAAGTTTTTTTTTAAAATACGTTATTTGTTGTCCACTTTGACGAACAAGTTGAAAATTACACATTAAATACAAACACACACAATCTTAAATGAGGACAAACACAGTGTGCTGGTGGTGGTGTCACTGCTCCTCGCTGACCTGGGTGCTGATTTGCTCTGACCGCCAGCAGGTGGAGGCAGCAGCTCATCTGAAGAAAAGTGTTCAAACTGGATGGTGCGTTCACGGCACACCAAGAACATTACCCCTTTATTACAGACCTGCAGCAGTTGTCTCGTTTTCGTCGTAAAACATCCCATCTTGCTCAGTTTCGTTTTATGGTCACCCATGGCATAAATTGCTCTTTAAAAATCGTGGGGGATTTTGTTTGTCATGGGGTTTCTTTATTCTGTATTTCATAAAATAGTTTATCAAATGGTTCCCTCTGTGCTTGTGAATATGAGATATGTGATGGGAATGCATAATTCTCACACATCTACAGGTATTGATAAAAAAAAGCATACATATTTATATCCATGGAATCAATAACTATTATACCAAATGACTATGTTATAATTACTAAACTATGTGTACATATTTGTACAGGCACATTCACACATAAATCCTTTGGCATGCAATAACTTCCCTTTTTTTCTCCCAGAGTACTGGATCCCAACTGAGCGATGAACTTGAGGTCCTAAAGTAAGAGATACCCCAAAGCTTACCTCCCTCCCTGGTTTCCCATAATGCCCCCCTCAACCTCATCCAAATCCCCCTATATCAACCCCAAAGGTCACCCACATGCAGACCATTAAGTCACTTATTCCTTTTTTGGAAAACTGTAAAGATAAGCATGATAAAATAGTGACATTACACCATATATTACACTTAAGAAACCTTCAGTTAATGCTCTTCAGAGCGTAGATGGCATTCCTGTGTGATCCTGCATGAATCTTCCATGAAAACAGCCATTTGAGGAGCCATGCTGCAGAAAAAACAGAAAGTTTCTTGGACGCTGTTTGCAGTGACCTCCTGAGACCCCTATACATCAAACCTCATGACACCAACAGAGGAGGCCACAAGTGAACTTTGGAGGAGAAGTTCAGAGGAGTAGAGTCATGAGCACATGTGAGTCTATTGTATCCACTTTATCTCACTGCCAATGGTCTGCTATGAAAGTGGATAGTGAGGCTATTTCTGTGTTTCTGTAATAAGGTCTTAAAACATTACGGCAGAAGATGACTTGAAACTATTCCTAATAACATCACAGATTAATGCAGTTTTCAAGGAAACCATACTTTTAGAATTTGGACTTGGCTTGCAAGTGAACTTATTTCTCAGTTACTTATGCATTTACCTGGATTTCGATATATCCTCATCCTCAATTTGAAATGATTTATTTGCTCAGTGAATGATAAAACATCAATGTCTGCCTTTAACATGCACTGAGCAAGGACACTCGAAAAGGCTGAATATCTCTTAAAGCTGTGTTGTTCATTTTACTCTTATGATCCCAAATGTAACATTACATGTCTTGTTTGATTTCCTGAGAGGCAAGAAGAAGGGCCCAAAATGACAGTATCTCTGATTTTATCACAATATTTCTGCACATGTCGACGTGCAGAACAGTTTGATTTGCAGCCTTTAACGCCCCTGAAGTATCTGTCAAATCTGCTCATGAAACCAGGGGCTCAATAAATAAAACTGTTATGTGAAAATCCTGTCATGAGCACTGCTTTGTTTCCAAGACACACACACACACACACACACACACACACACACACACACACACACACACACACACACACACACACACACACACACACACACACACACACACACACACACACACACACACACACACACACACACACACACACACACACACACACACACACACACACACACACATACACACGTACAAAACGAAGCTAAATGTGTATTCCAGAAGGGTGATGCACGATTGAATACTTCTGTATTTTTTTTACAGTTGTCCCCCACGTGCAGAATATAATGGTGTTCACGGAATGACAAAAACAACTATAACACTTTTATGCATTTTCTCACCAATTTAACCAAATGTAATTTCAACATTTTACATAAAATCGCTTGTGCATAATGTGTAGGAAATCAATATGAAATATATGTGAAAAATCTTAAACATAAAATTGCAATTCGATACATTAAGAATTATTTTAACACTGAAAAAACAGATGGGCATTGTAAGTATCCAAATATTTATTTTTAGTACGGGCATACATTTGCATGACACTCACAAAAAAATAATTCCAAAACAAAGTCAAGACTACGAGTTATAAATATATATTCTTAGTTACCAAAAAAGCACCAAGAGTGGTGACAGATTTGGCCTGCTTGCTTCCCAGATGTCTCTTGTTGTCTCGGAACAGACGGGCAGCGCCGCTCCTCCTCACATCCAGACACCGTCTTCTTTCTGTCTGCATCCGTTCAGCAAGCAACAAAATGTGGCTTTATGTCTGCACATCTCCGCATGAAAACAGCACACTTAAATCAATATGTGTATATATAACGTTAAATATGTCAAAACGCAGTGTTCAGATCATTTTCATCATACATATTGTAGAGATGCATTTGTTATTCACAAGGCTCTTTGTTCTCTTTGTATCCTTGTTGGTTTCTACACCTGTGTCGAATTAAATCTGGCCAATAGGCTATCTGTAAAACCTAATTTTACATTATAACAAATGAGAATACAATGATAATTAACACAAGTGTAGACAATAATTTGCAGCAATAACCAGACATGCTTAACAATGAGCTTCATTTGGTTAAATTAAAAACATATTTCTAAGTCTGTTATTAATTATTATCTTCAGTTAAATTATAACCAAATATTATAGCTGTGAGGAGATTTACCATACGTTATTAAATTCGGTGAACATCCTTAAAAAAAACATAGGTCCAAATAAGTTATATGAAGTAAAAATAAACATTTCAAGCAAATGTGGTCAAATGTAATTATTAGTCTACCAGGCCAGAGAAAGACCGGCTCGCATCTGATGCAGAGAAAGGTATAGACTGAATGGGATTTCTGCTGAATGCCAACACCCACTCACCTCTGCAAACAATTGATCCTATGTAAACGCTGCTCCGTTCGTTTCTATACCACTAACCAAGTCCTTTACTCTCCACAATGTTTTTTTCTGCCAGTATAGTCCTTTTTAAAATCGAAAAACGACCGATTTTCGTCTTCAGAGGGATTTCTGATTTATTATCGAGCGAGTGTGCAACAAAATATTGTGTGCGTAAAGGCCGTGCGTCTCATCCGTCTTTAAAAAAAATCCCTTCAATTCTAAATCGAAAACTTCCTCTACAGCCTAGCTAGAGAGTGGTTGTCCTCTTCCTGGCCATATATGATCTAAGGGAGTGTTAGATGGTTTAAATGTGTTCTTAGGGCAGGGAGCTGTCAGTCCTTTTGGCGAGAAAGATTGATCACACACAGGCTACCAGGGCTCTTTGTTTAGAGCCTGAGCAATAAACAGCCATCGGATCCCCACCTTTCCTCTGCCTCACTATAGTGGCAAATCATGTCTACCCTCCGCTATGTTATAACCAATAATGCTGAGGTGTAAGGATGATGGCGTAGGTCAACATTATCCCTATAGGTGAAATAAAAATAAATGAAATGGGATGTGGGATAGGGAGCTATAAACTGTAAAATAGTGAGAATTCCCTTTAAATAACCCAACTGCTTACTTGCATTGACACAAAATCATGTTTTTCCAGGAGCTTTCCTATAAAGACTTAAATGATAAAATTACCAAAAATACCATAATGTACTGAGAAGATTAAATAATTGTGAGAAAAAACCCCTGCGAGAATCTGATGTCAACATCATTCAAATTCACATTATACATCTATTAAACAACAGTCATTTTTGTCATCTCTCTGTTTTTCTCTCTCTCTCTCTCTCTTCTGTGTGTGTGTGTGTGTGTGTGTGTGTGTGTGTGTGTGTGTGTGTGTGTGTGTGTGTGTGTGTGTGTGTGTGTGTGTGTGTGTGTGTGTGTGTGTGTGTGTGTGTGTGTGTGTGTGTGTGTGTGTGTGTGTGTGTGTGTGTGTGTGTTGGGGGAGGGGTGGACATGTTATTGAATGTCTGGTGCAGCCTTTTCTCTCCAAGCAAACCTCCAAGAGATTCTCAAGATTAACGCCCATGGCCCTGATATCGATTGGGCGTCGCTGCATTACGAGACACAAATATGACTGATGAAATGATTTGTTGAGTGCCACGCTACAAATAAATGCTCATGCACCCACATCACAAATCACATGCACGTACTCGCAAGGCAGGACATGCAAAGAAGGCACGTTTTTCTGTGGGAGGGGGCAGAAGTGAACAAACTGACCCCAAAAAATGTGTAAATAAAGCAACCCCTACCCCTGGAATGAGGCGTTACCCCTCAGACTTTCTCGATCAATCACAGGGGACAGTGGCTTCTTTTGATAAAAAACCCAAATTGTCATTGGGCAGATGCAATCATGTGACAAGTATAGCACGGCCTAATTCCAACGATGTCCTCATGAAGGCAATAGTTTATGGGATAGAGGTCTCCATACGACAATATCTAGTTTAGTCGTTTATGATAATAAACGGCGTATTAATCTGAGTTAATTTTAATGCAGCGAGATTTTCAACACAAGGAGGAGATGAATTACGAATTTGGGAGAGAAAGTGGTTTTATCAACAGCCAGCCGTCGCTCGCTGAGTGCCTGACATCTCTCACTAACCCTGTCGGTGATGCATTTCAAAGTTCATCAATCAAGAGCTCGGCGCTTTCACAGTCGACACTGATTCCTCCTCCTTTTGAGCAGACCATCCCCGGCCTGCACCCGGGCATCCACCCACGCCACAGCCGCGCAAAGCAGCCGCTGCAGGCTGGATCCCTTCCCCCGGAGTACCCGTGGATGAAGGAGAAAAAAAGCATCAAGAGACACCCGACTGCTGCTGCTGCTTCTTCTGCAACAACGACGACTGACTCCTCGCCACTCTACTTCTCCCCCCAAGGCAAGACATGATGATTAATAACCTCCATGTAAAAGGCTCCTCATTGTCTGAGGAATCCCCTCAGCATGAGCTGCATCCCGGGCCTTATGCAACACGGGCATCCCTTTAAGCCAGTGTAGGATTTTGATTTAAACATGCTTAATCTCATCAAGTAACGCACTGACTTGTGATGCAGTGTACTAGTGTTAATGTTTGACAGTAATGGAGAGTGATAGATTATTCTTACACGGGCCAGCAGCTGGCATGTTCATTAATCTTCACCCTCCGTCCTGTCCTGTCCAAGCAGACCCATCATATTCTGCCTGGGGCCCATAAATCTCCCCACTGCCGGCGCTTGCTTGCCACAATTTTCTCCCCGGCTTGTTTCCCTCCACATATACACACTCAACTCGTTGCTGATTTATTTATTTTTTGCCAGCATTTCTCTGATTAAAAAAACTTGTTTATTTTTGTTTAGGTTCCCCAGAGGAGCCAGAGCTCGGAGGGGCATCCCGGAGATTGAGGACTGCGTACACCAACACCCAACTTCTGGAGCTGGAGAAGGAGTTTCATTTTAACAAATACTTGTGCAGACCGAGGCGAGTGGAAATAGCTGCTTTGCTGGATTTAACAGAGAAGCAGGTGAAAGTGTGGTTTCAGAACAGGAGGATGAAGCACAAGAAGCAGACCCATTGCAAGGAGAACCGGGACAGTGAGGGGAAATACGCGTGCCTGGACGACGGGCCGGAGGACGAGTTTGAGCAGGAGGAAGACAGCAGTGCAGCCGGGGGGACGCTCCTGGAGAGGGAGAGGTATTTCCACCAAAATACCTTAACTTCACAACATTGTATGAACGGGCACAATGGGGACAACCAAAGCGCTTTGAACAGCAATGAGAAAAATCTGAAACATTTTCCTAACCCGGCACCCACTGTTCCTATCTGCGTGTCAACAATAGGCCCGGACAATGATAATTCCCCGGGCCTGGACGTCTCTTTGCAGGATTTCCACGTTTTCTCCTCCTCCTCCTCTTTCTCACCAAGTTTGTCAGATTCTGCACATAGTCCCTTGTCTTTATCCTCCGACACGTTTGACCTTTTCTCAGAAACACTCACAACAATCGACCTGCAAAACTTGAGCTATTAAAATATTTCAACATGTTTCATTTGAGTTCAGACACTTGTGTCCAGTTTATACTCAATTAAGTGATCTCAAAAGTAAAGACAAATACATTAGCCTATATGGGCAGTTTAGCCTGCGAGGAAATACTTTATTTTTATATGGATTTCTACTATAAGTGAGAATATTTTTCTTGAAATAAAACTTGACATTTATTGGAATCAGCAGCGCCATTGTCTTATTTCACAGTAAGAAAGTTTGGAGAGCTCATTGATTTTAGGCCTACAATACAATATAAAAATATATTAGCTATAAGAAAAAATGAATTATGTCCATGAATAGTTTATAACACATGTTTACTTTGCAAATAAAGATAATATAAAGAGTTTTATTCAAATGCCACGTGATGTTTTCTTGCAGTATAAAGATTGATGATCTCAAACGTCCTCAAAACAAATAGCAAGATTAATGAGCATTACGAAATACAAATAATAGTTATTTTCTATCTTTGTTAATTTCCATACGTTTAGTTTAAATAACTCTTCGTGCATGCTTCTGCATAGGCTATACTCAATGATTTATCGGACCAGAAAGAAGGAACAAAAAAAGCAAATTCATTGCCTCAGCAAGTTTAAACCCAGAAAAAGAACATTTGCAGTGAAAATTGCCTGCTCGGAGTCCCAGGCCAAAAGCTATGACTTTTCTTGGCTCTAATTAAATGTTATTGCCAATAAAACTCACAGCACTGGGGGTGCTTGTTTATGGCCTGATCCTCGTTGTAACACCATCTTTTTGAAATAAGAATAGCGCTTTATACGCAATCGTTTTTCAATTTTGATGATTTTAAATTAAACATTCAAAGCAGCCGAGACGTTTCCCCCAAGTCGATGTACATTTTAACTTCATTTTAATCTAGAACTATAACACAGTAGCAATAAATAGACCAGATATGAGGTAAATAGCAGGTGTTATGTATTCCATTTATTTATGGTAACATGTAACGATGGAAGTAAATGTATGTTAATCTGAACCAAACGGATTTCGTCCCTGTTTACGGCTAAATTAGTTTTTTCACACCGACTGGTTAGCCTCGGCTCGTTAAAGCGCACAGAAGCCACGATGTCACAGCCTGGTCGCTGTTTCTAATCAGGAAGCTGTTATTAAACGTTAAGGGGAAATGATCGATAAAGCCACAGATTTTTCCTGGAATAAAAAGATTAACAATCCCACTGATCAATTATTCTGACCAGAGTCTGCAGGCAGCGTGATTTAATTTACAGCCTCGGTATCTCTGCACTCATCGTGCTGCTCTCAGCCTCACAGCTAGCAATACTAAAAAAAGGTGGGGTGCTTCAATTCTTACTGAGATGCCATATTAAGCGATGGCTATGGTAATTTGAAAAGATTAAGCCCAGGTGGTCAGATTTGCTTTGGTGCTGAGGCCACTGAGCTAATTTTTAGTCAGAGCACTCTGTGTCATCAAGTCAGTGTCTGCTGGACTGACCACAAGTATCTCCTGATATTTATTATTTGAAAAAAGGTCCGGCAATGTATACCTTTGCATGCTTTGTTTCTCTTTATGAGCATAAAAATAAAACATATAATGCATAGCTTTGCCCCCCTTTACAGGTTTCACCATGACCACCCCAACATTCACATTCATGAATTTGAATATATAATTTTCTTTATTTGTTATGGGTATATGATGGTAATTTGGAGCAGATTGGTCAAGTAGTAAATTACCAACATGTTAAGAATCATACAATCTGAGGAACCAACCACAGGAAGGAGTTCAAGCATGGTAGAAAAGTAGATGAAGCGTTATGGGAAACTAGATACAAGCCTGTGCCAGCAGATCCCTCCCTCCACACATGCACACACACGGGTCAAAGGTCAAGCTGGCTCTCCTCTCCTCTCCAAGCAGAGAGGAACTACTGCCAGGTCAGGAGGGGGTCAGGTTTTGAATGACCTCAGAGGGTTTGTGGCTCATAAAGAAGGTCTTGGTTACTCGGTTCTGAACAGGAAATGACATCAGAAAATGCAAAACAATACTACCATGAAGGATATTATATAAAGTTTGTGTTTGGATTAAGACATTTGTGATTGTAAATCACATGACAATAAACCAAAGATCTATAGAGCTGGTTCAAATTTTCTCAGAATGAATCAACATCAACAATATTGTAAAACTTAAAAAATACATAAAGCAAAAGTGTAAAAAACTCTTATCACTGTCAATAAAGAAAACAACATAGAGAGTGTTACTGGGTCCAAAACACATTGGTGAAGAAAAAAGGACAGAGCAATAGGCTCTACGAACTTAACCAGAGTGTGTGTGGGTGTTAAAGTCTCTCTAAAGCTGCTGAGTTAAAACTGGAGGAGAGTCATTTGGATGTGGGACTGGTTGGCCTGACAGCACTGACAAACAACGTGCAGCACCTGCAGCTAAAGCACGAGCTGAAGCTCTTCAGCCCCTCCAGAGCTGCACTGACATCTCTGTTTCATTTCTCCACAACAACAGGCTATTCAGTTCAAAGGCTGAGCCTTTAAACCTGGATTGGGTGATTCTCACTGTCAAAAAATGACTAATGAATGACTGACACCTTTATAAACAATATGACACCCAGCTGCTTTCACTGAATACACCACGAGGCACAGGGTTGACTTGGTGTATAAGGTGAGCTTTTTGTTGTCTACTTTTGCCAGGACTTGTTTGATTGCATTAGAAAGGAACATTGTGTTAGTCTTTGATTGTCCACTACAAAACGAATTAATGTCTCCCTAATGTGATTAATATTCTGAATGTGATCTAGGAAAAAACTGTGCAAAAGTTAAATGGGCTCTCTCAAACATCTGTTGCTCAAATATTTTTAAAAAACTGGCTCCTAAACCTGCAGAACAGTTTTATATAATGGCCTCCTCAACTATTAATGAGCCCTATTTGGATTTACAATGTTGACATATTCATAAGCCCAAAGTGCTTGCATCATTGTAAAAAAGAGACACCGCCAATGTGTCCAGTGAGTCAGTCACAGACTTAAGTGCCAGAGAAATATTATCTGGAATCAATCAAAAAATATGATCATGTGTTATCCGCTGACTTTATAGGTCTGTAAAGACCCATTGCTCCATTAAAGCATCGACTCCACGTCATCAGGAGCAGTCAAAAATACACACAAAGGCTGATAGACCAATAAACGTCAGTGTGGATGTTGAACAACAGGCAGGTTTCAGAGGGGGTTTTCTACAGCGGAACTATGTGGTCAGATAATAATTAGAACTGTAACTTCCGTGTCCTTCAACTCATTGCTGCTTCCGTGTGTGAAGTCTCCCAGCCGGACGGTCACCGCTGCAAGGAACAAACTCTCAATACAATGCGTGCGATTCCCGAGGAGCTAACGACGCTCATCTCAGGTAAAATCTTTATAAGTTACCGCATATCTGCACACAATGGGTGGTTTTCCGTGTTTATTTTGTGCTTTTGTCACCACGTCCAGCTTTTAAGGGACCGTTTTGTGAAAGAGGAAGCACACACTCATAACAACGCTTTCAGTCAGGTGGACTTTAGTCTAGCTGCATCATGTCAACACACCACGGTGGTGCTATTTCATCCGTGCTGATCAGTATCAAACAATGAGCAGTTTGACTTCGAAGCTGCACACCGTGTTGTTGTGCTTTTGAAAAGTATATGTTTTCCAGTAGAAGACCTGGTTTTTGTCTGCCAAAACAGTGGAACCAGATTGTATGAATGTGTAATCTGATTTATTTTTTTTAGACCTAGAATATTTCATCTCTGATGGATTAAAAGGGGAAAATCTCAGCAAGAAGGCAAAAGAGAAGAGGGATGCCTTCATCAGACGGATTCAAGAGCTCAAATTGGGGTATGTCTTTCTGCAGATCAGAATTGAGGTACAAATAATTTTAATGGAAAATGTGAACGTTTTTAACATTTAATCCCTTTCTCTTCAACAGTTTCCCACACTATTTCAAGGACAGAAGTGAGTGCTTGTCTTACACTTTATTAAATGTACCAGTGGCTCCCAACCTTGTGTTTTAAGCACATAAGGCATGAATCTGAGGGGTCACTAATATCAGGATAAACCCATTGAAATGTATTATCTTATCTTAAAAAATATGATCAACAACTTTGAATAAATAAATACCTCCTGATACACCAAAAATGTCCTCTATTATTTTCTTTTTTTCAAAAAACTGTTTTGTGCTTTTAAACCTTCTCCAAACAGCCACAAAAGGGAATATCCCTCTTCAAATACAATTAATAAATGTCATGGATATGCACAACAGGTTGGGAGCCATTGGGATACAATATAACAGGCACCATTAACAGTTTCTGTTTGTTCTTCTAGGTGGAGATGAGGAGGATGACGAGGAGGAAGTTGACAGCAACAACGATGGAGGCTCGCAGCAGTCAGAGCGCACAGACAAGGATGAAGACGCTGGCGAAGGTAAGCCACAAACACTTAGCAGATGTCCAAACGTTGACTTGCTAACTGCTAACAAGTGGTAGATTAAAGTATTGAAAATTGCACCTTGGCATGAACATATACAAATCTCGGTGTCTGCTCCTTGGAAAAGTGACTTTGAGTGGCACAATGAGGGAGACATTCCAACTGTAACTTGGCAACATACTTGGGAAGCAATTTGGGGGCACTAGTGCTACTCCCACCACCTCTTTCACCCCACCCCTTTGAAAGCTAGAGCACGCTTTATTGCTCCCAGCCAGTCTTGGGACAGAACATTACTGCCATTGCTGTAGTTTGAGAAAAAACATGTCTCCATGTACAGTAGCCCAGTTAACCCTGTACGCTCCATTGGGGCAACCGATGCAATATGTTGTATTTATTTTTATAAATAGAGTATCAGGGATATCCTTGTGATAATGGCCATTAGGGGTCTGGGATTTATGGGCTGCAAACAGATGCCAGTTTTATGGCTGCTCTTTCACACAAAGCAACTTTGACACAGCAGTTGAACATTTGCATTGAAGTTGCACGCTGCAAGGGGAATCGCCTCCAGTGAGAAGCAAAACCTTGCATAGTAGAGCCTCCATAGATTCTGCTACTTATTTTCACATCAGTCAAACAAATAAACCACATACTTGAAGAACATGAAGTTAGTCAGAAATCAATCTGTTTATAATTAACATTTTGAAAACATAATGTCATTTTCACTTATACATCATTAAAAACATGATGGGTTT